CTCTCATACATAGTGAAGAAACTCCCGAGCTCAGCCGAGGGAAGCGAGCGTATTCCCATCTCTACATCACTACCAAGGATCGCTGCCTTTCCGTAGCGATTTTCTTCGGGCTTCTATCTTGACTATTCTCGTCCTCTTCCAGGTGAAAACTTTCTGACCTTTTCCTTGCTGCCTTAGGCGTCATCTTAGGAGAATGATCCGTGATGTCGAAGCTCGACGACAGCCGAGAGAATCGATTCCTGAGGAAAGCACCACCTCCACACGCTGACAGACTTTTTCGCAGAAGCAACCATATACGATGTAATCGAGTTCATGATACTGTACGATCCCCCGAAATCCGTTCATGGGTGCGCCGATGATCGCAAAACGAGATGTGCCAAAATCGGAGCCTCCCCAGTGTTCTGGAGACTTCTACGATGATTTCCAACGCCATAAGGACCTCTCCCTGTATTACCGTCGACTTCCATCCGCCATGATGCAATTTAACAAAAAAGGTAATGCCAGAAAATCGAAAAGTCAAAAAGTGACAATATGAATCGCTTCGCTCCGCTGTTCACAGCGCGGGTTTTGCACGCCAACTCACCCTACAATGCAGTTGTAATGCCACGATGGGCTGCCAAAACTCACAGCCAGTAAGTCCAGGTTTCCCGATATGTTCATTTAGGCTATTTTTTTGAGGCTGCTGTACTTCAGGTAGATTCTTCGTCTGGGTTCTTCTTCAACCCCGATGGAGACAAGATCTACGAGGACATTCGAGAGCACTACAGCATAGGACAGGTGAGGAATGGACGAGCACTCCAGTGTCCATCATCTGGACGAGAATTCTCACTGGAAACGTCGTATGAGAAATTTGCTCTCTAGCCCTACGATGCACTCCGCGATGCAATCGTGCGAGGCATACTTCCGCAGAGCTGGACGGCTATTTAAGCATTGTCTATCTATTTTGTTTATGAATTTGCCTTTGTCAACAGATCACAGCAGTCTGTGCTCCTCATCTTGAACGAAAACGCACCACTCAGTTGTGTTATTCCTCTGCACATGCCAGGTGCTGGGTTCTGGAAGTTTCGGCCAAGTCCGGGTTTGTACCCTCCTAGAAAATGGCGAGCGGAGAGCGGTGAAACTATTAGATCAAAGCCAACCAGATAGTGTGCCCATGTACTCCGCTCGTGATGCACGCAAGCCCCTGTGATTGTGACAGTGTTGCTTTCTATTCAGGTTCTGTCAGGAGATCAAGTTGCTCCTAAAAGTTCATAGCGAGCACATCATCCAATTCTACGAATACTTCATAGACCATCATTTCCTGTGATTCTCCGTAGTGAGCGAGATGCCACATCGTGAGATGTCTGCAGATACATAGTCATGGAACTTTGCACCGGAGGCGAACTCCTCAAAAAAGTGATTGAGATGAGGCGCTTCTGTGAAGAGGACGCAGCCCGTGTGTGCCGGTACAATATCAAGCCTTGATTATCACTGCATGGTGTTGCTCTCAGTCAGGTCGTGTTGGCCATTGCCGCATTGCATTCGGCTGGTATTTGTCACCGAGACATCAAGGCTGAGAACCTCTTACTCGATGGAAGCGGTGATGTTAAGACGTGCATAGTGAAGTTGATCGATTTCGGCCTGGCCACCAGCGTTCATAGCAGTAAGTCGCTTCGTGGAAGAGTAAAGATCTCAGGAGTCTACTCGCAACTAAATGTTGTTTCTCCAGACTTCATAATGCCTCTAACGAGGAGGTTGCTGAAAAAATCCCAGCAACCTCCTTCCTGCCTTTGCAGAGAAAATGGCGGTTCACGGCGTAGCGGAGGATCTCCGATGGACTTTCACGGCTATACAATGAATAGAGAATTCTCACTCAGACAGCGTGTATTTTTTCCTAAAATTTCAGGACTAGCCTAGCCTTGCATTTTTCATTCCGTTATTGATACTTTTCTCAGCCGGGCGTCTCAGTGAGCTTTGCGGTTCAGCGCACTATCTTGCGCCGGAGCTTCTCGGTCAGAACTACAGCTTTCCCGTTGATTTGTGGAGTCTGGGAGTACTCATGTACCTTCTACTGTACGACTCAGTTGCGTGCGTTTGCGAAATTGAAATTTAACATTCGCTTTTATCCATTCCAGATGATTCACTCGTGACTGATGAACCCCTCCGGGTTGCTTCATCGCTCTCTCATTTGAAGACATCGTCGTGATGCATCCGACGTGTTCAGGTATGGCTACTATCCCTACGACGGGCCGTCTTCGAGGGAAATTATGATGCAAATCTTGAGGAACCGTATCCAATGGACGCATCGAAAAGAAAAGGTGATTTTTCTCCCTCAAATGTCCTCCTTGGGGTTTCAAAAATTACCCATCCTGGCTGAGCTCGCTGTAATGCTCCCTCACCTTCTGCTGGAGTGGAGTTCTCCTGTGGAGCCTGCGAGGGTTCATCTGTCAATACGATCAAATGAATCTGAACACCCGCGTTTGAAACGCGGCGTTTCGGACTTCTTTCTTTTCGATCAACAGTACAAACTCTCTCCGGAATGCCTCAAGTTCCTCAAGGGTCTTCTCTGTCGAACTGAAGTTGATCGACTCACAGCAGAGGTAATCAATGCTAGCTTCTGATTAGGGAAATGAGTGCCGGCGGCTCAGGAAGCGTTGGAAGATTCTTGGTTAGTCGAGCCTGCTGATGCCAATGTGGAGTCGGTGACCGTTCCAGTCGAAGTTTTGAGGCAAGGCGGTCTGGGGTTGATCGGAGTTGGCAGTTGGTCGAGCAGGAGCTTATACCGCATCTAGGTCCGCTCATCGCCGAGTGACTGCATCACGCATGAAGGTTGCACCTGCGATCGAGGAAAAGCGCAATTCCTTTTTGAGGATGATGGACGAGGACTATAGAGAGGTTAGATTATATGACTTATTCAGAAGTGTCATTAAGCCTGAGGACGTTTTGACGATGTTACCAGAACACAGGGTTCTTGCTATTGTAGGGTTTGAGCCGGTGTCAGAGACTCAACCCTACCGCTGTGGAAGAGATCTCTGGTCGACCCGAGGTAGTCCTCATGGAAGGCAATGCCGTGCTTGCTGTTGGACTCAGTTCGTTCGGCGGGACAATAAAGTGATGACAGCACCGAGCAGGACATGGTGGTGAGGCATTCTCATTCTGTTCGTAACTGTGGTCAGTTTTGATGTGTTTCATGCCGATCCATCGATCATAGGGCAACGATGGATAGGTGAGGAAAATAAATCAGAAAAAAAGGTTTGTAGTTTGGGTGTAGTTCATCCAAAACGGCGACTGTTTCACGAAGGATATGTAGGAGCGATCGTTTCGATGTTGCTCACAGATCACGTGTATTGCCTCGATCATGTGAATGACATAATTCAGTTAACTTCATGGCGGTGATGCAAATCTGCTGCATCAGGTTTAGCAAGTTCTCGATGAGGTCTAGCAGTCGGGAGATGCAGGGCGGACAGAGATTGTCCGACCTCATACCTAGCGGAGGTAGAGGACAACGGTACGTCCGGGAGGCTTTGACGATGTTTTGTTGTAGTTCCTGGCAGGACTGACAGACGCATCAGACGTCGAAGCTCCGAAGCGGACTTAGAAGAAGGGGACAAGGCCAAGCTTCGGGTCGGATTTGCGTATCTCACACCAGTGATGATTTTTTATCTGTTCGGGACATTGTACCGTTGGAATCATCGGCTGAACAACTTGTAGATGAGCCTGCATTCTGTTGAGGTTGAGTCTCGTCAGGAAATGTTCGAAGAATTCAAGCGAAGACGCGAAAGTTTGGCATCCGAGAAAAGTAGCATCGATGACAAGCGACCATCATTACCCATGACTCTTTGTATGTGACGTGAGTTGGAAGGTCTCCATCGAAGGAAGGTTTTTTGTTCCTGTATGAGGGTCGTCGGGCTCTCTGGAGTATGTTAGCCTTTTCTCGCTGTGCTTGTCCTGAATAATCCCAGCATGCTCGTCACCAGTAGACCGGCTCAGCGCTGCATCGCTTTTGATGCTAATCCGACGGTTGATAAGCTCAATCGGAACGCCGGCTCTGCCAATATCGAAGATGGACAGGAGAGTGAGGGGGTTTCACGCATTTTTCCAGGACAGTATCGAGCCCTCGCGGTCTGGGAAGTTGCGGGGCTGAGAAGATGTCTTAGACATTTGTCTTTTTGAATCGTCTAACCCCATTCAATCTTGCTGTATTCTCTCCCTCATGCTCGAGTTACGCCGGGTGTTTATTAGGTACGACTACGAGCTCAGCAGGTTGGAGTCATCACATCAGAGACTTTGGTCTGCCACCTCCGTCAAAGTCCGATCACCCTCAATGCGATGCATCTGACTGGTCCCCCGGTACTGTTGAGTGGGAGTACTCAGTGGGCAGGCCAACCTCTGACTTGAACGCGATTCCCGCAACAGCTGAGTTGGCGAGATTTACCGTAGACAGTGCCGAATCGGTGGGATTCACGCTCATGCTCTGTTCATGTGTCAAGCTGTCAAGCAGATTTCGCTGGAGAATCTGCGTGTCGCCCTTCAAGCTTCTCACAGGCGCATGATGACCATTGTTGAGGAGGAGAGGACATCTAGTCAATACCATAAGGTCTCCAGTGGGTCATCCGTGAACAAAGATCTTTGTCAAGAACTCGTTGAAGGCTCCGAAGGATATGCCAGGCTGAGACAGTGGGCGGAGCGAAGCGGATTTTGAAGTAACAGAAATTAATACTACGATGTTTGATGTGATTATCAGTCAGTGCACGTCGGTGTTGTCATGTATTAGAGGGTAATTAGCAAGTCATGTCCCATCATAGTCAATCTCACTATTGTTATTGGGTGCGAACGCTTACAGTTATCAGAATAGGAGATATCCTTCTCCTCCAGATAGTAATCATCTATGTTGGTCGCTATGTTTCATTTCTGTCAAATCGCTGGGATTGAGTTTGTAAGTTTGCCAGCGCTAATACCCTAATTGTAACACTGTTGTTTCGGCACGCATTTTGCACATGGAACGTGTTGAACAAGTACACGCATTGGGATGCACAATTATGTTCCACAATTCCTCCTCGAGCGAGCGTGGGCGCAGTTTAGCTAATGCTGTGTGTCGTGTAACATCATATAACTTCAGGGAAAACTCCGACTACCATCGCGTTGGGTTCTTAGATTTCCTCCCTTTGCGGAATTACTTCTCCTATCGTGTGGAACCGTGAATGAGTTTTCCGAGAGCCGACGCCGCTACCTTTCACTGCTGAAAAGCAATTTCCCCTCATCAATGAAGCAACAGTTCTAACGCAGTCCTTCTCAACAATCAATGAAACATATATAAAGAGTAACAGTAGTAACGTACGTTGGTAAAGACGTTAGTTGCCATTGAATGACATCACCTCATCGCAGTTGCCTCAATCCATTGCTTGATAACATCACTGAGGACATTAGGCAGTTGAGAGACATCTTGTATCACTGCATAGAAGGGGAATGGGAAGTCTTTATTGGACAGGAAAGGAGCCATTCTACTGCGGCCCGTAGGGTCTCGAACCACCTCCTTCAAATTATAAATAGAGCGACCAGACTCGGCAGCCTCATCGACAATAATGAGCACTGGCAAACGGTTCTTGCTGAGCATGTTCTGAACAGAGTGTCGCACCGCCTCTTTATTGAATCGTCCATCCGTCACAACAACGGCCAGACATGCTTGCTTATAATCACCGCCCGCAACTTGGGTGAATTGCTCGTCACAGTCGTCCAGAACAGCAGGCAAAGAGCGCGACATTGATCCAGCACTTTCCTCGTCGAAATTGAAATGATGCAACAGCTCGGGTAGGTTCAAAGGAGAAGGTGAGACCAGTGTCCTCAGCGAGCGAACAGAGCTGCCGAAGGAACTAACTCCGACAGTGCCGATCTCGAGACGAGACATAGCCTGGGTGATAGCATGAACCGCGCACAAGGATAGTTCGCCAGATTGGTTGGATCGCATTGACTTGGTATTATCCAAACACACAATGACGTTGTGCTCTCTCTTGCTCGGCTTGTTCCTCCGGAGCCATATTCTATCTTTTCTATAGTCGCTCGCTACCCACGCGAGGACCTTCCGCATGTTGAGCCTTTTCCCTGTCTTGTAGTCGCCTTGCATTCCACCACGCTTAGTGGGCTCGAGGACCATACGCAATCGCTCAGTGAGCTCACTACAGACGCTCGACGACAGACGGTCGATGTGCTGCAGACGGTCATTGCTGGCATCGCCCTCTCCACCAGCGTTATAGATAATGTCCTCACTCAGACCATTCATCTCCACGTCTCCGTCTTCATCAACAGGTACAGCGAGAGCTTCCGGATTCCTGGAAACCTCGGAGCGCAGGGGGCCCTTGTGTTTCGTATCAGCTGCACCCGGTTCTTGACCAGAGGCATCAGGCTCTTCCTCATCATCTGCTTTATCGCGTGCTTTCTGTTCGTTTTTGAACGTTTTGTCCTCAGCCGACTTGGGCGGTGCAGGGCCTGAAGCCGCACAATCGAATGCTCTCTCCTAGAACCAAATACCCACCGAGTCCGTCCCTGTTTTCTTCCATCTTATCCTCCTCATCAACATCCATTTCATCAACCTCTGAGGCTGCCTCGTCATCCTCCTCCTGCTCGAGCTCTCCAGCATGCTCAGCACTATCGCCTGTTGCCTGCGCCACGCCCTCCAGCTTGGACGACTCGTCCTGAGTCTGAGTCGAGCAACTCTCCATTGCACTCACACCATCGAGTTCCTACTGCATCCTTGTTGAGACCCTGTTCCTCGTTGTTCTCTTCCTGCTCTCCTCCGGCCTCCTCCTCCTCACTTCCCTCTTTAGATGCATCCTCGTCCATCAGTTGAATCCGCTTGAGCCACTTCTCTACCTCCTCGACCGAGTCCTTCAACGGATTCGGTGGTGCCGGTGGTGCCTGGCAGGACAGTTATTTTCATCTACCGTAATTTTCATATTACAAAAAAACGGACATGAAAACACAAATGCGAATCAAATTTTCATTCCACTACTGGCAATCTACATTACCAGTCGAAACACAATGCCACACCCCATAACGTGTTTCACGATAATAAGCCTCATCAAGTTCCCACGGAATCACCTTGTTCTTCGGCTCCCTGCTGGATTGCCCCTGAGGTCCACTCTCCCGAATCGCCGCACCTTCCTCATCTCTACCCGCATCCTAGCAACCAAGCAATACACTCTTCCCTCATCTCCTCACCACTTACCTCTGCTCCCTGGGGCTGATCTCTAGTAGATTCCTCCTCGTTATGAGCATCATTATCTCTGCCTCCAGTCAGCTCCTCACCCTGGCCTCCTACACCACCCAAGTCTATCGCCATAACCGACGCCCTTCTCCCCCTACCTTCCTCATCTTCAGGGTTGGTAGCATTCCTTTGTGGCTGTGGTGCAGCCTCGGCAGCGTTCTCCATCAGAGTGTCCTGGTCCTCAGCGGCTTCTGCTGAGTTCAACTCGTCAGTCTCATCTTCCGGTGAGGTCTCATCCTACGCCCAATGCTCTATAGAAACGTCGAGGGCGACTCGCCTTACTTCTTCCTCGCCTTCCTTCTGCTTATCCTCATCATGCACTGACTTGGCATCCTCATCGTCCAGGTCCGCATCTTCCTCATCATCGGTGACAGCATCATCAGAGTCACCACCAACCTCGCCATCGAGGGCCTACCGAAAGCCTCATGCAAGACAAGTTCCTCTCAGCTCCCGTACCATATCATCATCGAGGTCCATATCATCCTCATCCGCTTCGCCATCCTGCTGGGCGTTCTCTCCACTTTCATCGCCTTCCTCACCCGCATCTGAATTCTCACCACATCCCTCATATACACCTGACGAGCTGCTCACCTTGATCTTCCTTGGCCTTGGCCAACGAAGCCTCAAAGGCATCATCATCCTCATCGCCGCTCTCCTCATTGATACTGCCTGACAAACCGGAGAATACTCAGTCGAGATCATCAGCGTAGACTCCCAGAGACACAAAACTTGTCATATTTCCGTCCTCACGTATAAATCTCGATACTACCTTCGCCATCCTCATCCTTCCCATCTCCCTCCTCACTTTGCTCTTTACTGTCTTCGCCTTCCTCAGAATTCTTCTCATTCTCGCCATCTGAATTGATGATCACACATCACTACTCTAGCGGAGCGAAGCGACTCTAGTTCTACCATTTCTCTCATCCGCTTCTCCTCCTTGGTCCTCAGCCGCAACAATATCCGTTTCAGACTGCTTTTCGCCGCCCTTAGTCTCAATATTTTCATCCTGTTTATTCTCTCCACCATCCTCGTCCTCCGATTCCGATGCCTAAAAGCACAACATCGTTCAGATTCATCAGCATGGGCTTGCCAGACTACTACCTCCTCGTCCTTATCCTGTTCTTCAGTTCCCTTCTGCTTCTCCTCTATCTCGCCACCCTCCTTGAGATCAACTTCTCCCATCTCTCTATCCATATTATCCTCTTTATCCTCATTCTCATCTTCCTCGTTAGGTTCCCCTAACATCAACCGAGATGACAATTCTGAATCCTCAGAACACCCTGACCCGAACAATCGAGAAACCGGTAAGCTCTCAATCGTCTACCGATTATGGAAGCCACCAAAAAAACAAAACAGTAGCATCACTATTTCCCGACATATAACGCCGAGACCGATGCACAGAAATCAGCAAAGTCCGGACAACCCAACGACTACGTTGCACGTTCTCCTCCGGGCCATCAACGTCCATGATATCGCCAACCTCGACTCCCTTGCTCTTATCCTCTTCCGTTTCCTACAAAGCACCGATCAAATAGTGAAAGATCTCCAGTAAGCCCACCTGCTGTTCCTGTTGCGGCTGTTCTTCCTTCTTCTCTTCTTGCACAGTGTCGAACGTGTTTTTATCCTCAATCTCATCACTCACATCTCGAGCCCCCGAGCCTTCACCAAGACCCGTACCTTGTTGCCAGTCGGTAGTGCCTGACGACAAACCAGCCGCACGTGAATGGCTCTCCTGATGGCCGAAAACTCCCTAGGAATAGAGCGCAGGCGTGAATCCGATGTTCTCAAAATGAAAGCGTTGGAGGAACCACAGGAGACACTACCTTCTCGTCCCTCTCCACCTTCACTATCCTCCCCTTCGGCTAAGCTGAGACCCTCTTGATGCAGATGAGTCACAAACTTCAGCATAGCATGGAGCGCCAGTAACGACGAATCCAAACTCTCCTCGATGGATGCCACCGAAGTCGCAAGAAGATTGGTCGAAACGTCAGCGGGACTGAACATCGTTAACGATTATATAGAAGCGAATCACGTTAGCCCGCTCGTACATCTTGCCCTCCTTGAGATTCCTCAACGCTGCTGCAGCATCAGTATCATCACACGGCATCTCTCCATTGACAATCTTGACTAGCTTGTCAGCTAGGTCCACGGATTCCGCAGCCGCCTCCACCGGGGCTAGCTCCACCGTGAGGTCCTCGGCTGCCGAGGAGAGCTCAGACGCAACTTCTCGGAGCCTCGGCATCAGAGATACACATCCCGACGAGCTCAGATACTCGGCCATCGCTCTGAACACAGCCGCAAGTAGCCAGAGATTATTGAGGAGGAAGCCGCTGGTAGCACTCACCTCGAAGATTCTCGCAAGGTCTCAACCCACGCCTGTCTAACCAGCAGATTGTGCTGGTCCTCTGTGGAATTTTCATGCAAAAGAGATGCAATTCGGCCGATCTCAGGTCCGTGAGAATCGAGACATGTTCCCACTACAGCGGGAATGGGCGGTAAGGGTTCTGAAGCTATCGCCGAGACCTGTGCCTGATGGAGCAGAAAATCAATCAATTCCTCAGTAGGAGTATGCCCTCCTTACCGCAGATTCATGGACTGCCGAGTCCAACAGCTGCACCAAGGCTACAACGCAATCAGTGCCCTTGGTCACTATGGAGTCCACGTTCATCAGCACAGCATTCGCCTCCTCAACAGATTGTAGATAAGCACGACGAGCGACCGCATCGAGTAGATGATGGAATTCTTGGACAACATCTAAACAACTCAACTCCGTACCGTAACAGACGCAGCATCCCCCATTACGTTGCATCCACCATTTCAACTGATCCATGGTTAAGTCCAGATTCGGCGGCGCCTTATGCAGTGACGATAACTTCAGCCACTCATGGAGGCAGATCTGAGTCCAGGGAAAAATACTGTGAATCTACACGTTCCCAAGCCGCCTACATTGAAGGTTCGGCTTCTCTTGGAGTCACCTCCCACTTCCCTGAGGGCAGGCTCTACTGCCATCACTTCTCTAGAGAGGTCGATATTGGCCGAACTCCCCGGAGGCAAAGGCATCTGAACATATTTCTCACTGCGAATGCTCATCTTCGTTTCCTGATCACCTCTTCGTTGATGAAGTCCTTAAGCTGCATCATCTGCCTCTTCTTAGCCTGTACCGGATGGGCAGGTTGAGCCGTCAAGAAGGCCTTAGTGTCGGCGAGCGCTTCGCATAACTCCGCACACTTCATTCCAGAGCTGAGCTTCAATGGTGGCGTCAATGTGATGGACGCCAGTACAGGATCGGTTGGAGCCAATACCGCAGAGTCAAACCTGACGACAGACGCCGAAATGACACAATTTCGGCAAAGTAAAGGCTTACACTCTCGCGGCCTTCGCTAGCTGCTCATGCGACCGTTTCGTCATATCACGGAAAGCAGCGTGGTTAGCCGAGGGTCCTAGATCCCAACGGGCGCACTGAATGAGCTCCTTCACTTCCTTTTCCAGTGCCTATAGAAAATACACAGCAGAGATTGCATCGACAGGGCTCGATTCCAATCCGAACTACTATAGAAACCTCTTTTCAACCGTCACATTCGCAACGAATAGCCACTACTGTCCCCATACACCATTTGGGTAGTCTCATTTCTCACCTTTCGGTGTATCTCCATCTGCTTGTCCACGTACGGCAACCATACCATAGCCATACCATGAAGATGCTGTAGCACGGGAACGTGAAGCAAATCGCCAACAGTCTTGATGATCACAACACGCTCCGAGAACTGTACCAAGGGAGAGGTGCGGAGGAATCTGGGAGAATAATACAGCTCTTGCGAGACCATGTGGCGGTGAATCACCTCATGCCCGTGTCGAACAGCTCCGCCTTCAGCCTGTCATCAGAACCGTCGATCTTAGTGCTCTTCGCTGCTGACCATAGTCGGGCGAACCAGCGTCCGCGAGCCTTAGAGCGCCAATACGCCTCCCGGGAAGCTCGGAGATCACGCCACGAAGCAATCTGAGATGATGTGGTCAAACATGTGAATAAAGCCATCACTGTCTGAAGCCTCATCCGAAATGCGACATCACGGTAAGAGAATGAGAACCCAGAATTCAGACTGTTGCGATCATCAGTCGGCCCAGTTGTGCCCGCCTACCTGCATTGCTCTGAAGGTCGCCACGGAGCGCCTCACACTGATCACAGCGCTCGCTCCCGCCTTCAGGAGATGAGAAGGAACAGCTCGGACCAAAGCATCATAACGATCCAGACACTCCTCGAGCATGAGTAACGCGGACATGGGACTCGTCGAACCCAGAGTGCATGACTCTAGGAATTTCTTCACCGCACGCAGACAGGCGTCCACAGCGGGATGGCCCTCTGGGATGGCCCGATTTATGGACTCCAGATGGTTGAGGAGCAGAGTGAGAGGATGAACGAAGTGGCAATTGAGGAGGTCAAGCGCCCGACCATCAGCGGACTCCAAATAGAAGGACAGCTTCTCCGTCGCTCGAGCTCCTTTACGGTTGATAACATCTCGGAGACGAACCTGGCGAAGATGATTATGCACAGCAGATAGGGCCGGTCAAGAACCCCAAGAAGACAAGTGAAAATGAATCCAGGAAGGACATAGCAGTATAAGCTGCGGCAAAAAGCTCACCTTGAGTTCGCTCTCCCTCTTCAAGCGTCTTCTCTCTAGTGCCTCCAGCTCGTCCAGAGTCATCTCGCTCTCATCCTTCTCTACACCCTCATCGGCTTCCTCTACTTCCTTCTCCTCCTTCTCAACAGACGGCATCAGCTCCTCTCCCGCGACCTTCCTATCAAGGTCTCTAGTCAGACGCCTCAGTCTACCCAGCACCAGAGGTAGACCATCCTCATTAACCCACGGACCAACGATGGTATCAGCTGGAGCACATGCCCTGCCTGTCACCAGCTCATCGTCCTTGATGCTCTTCAATACATCTCCCCAGGCCTCCCCGAGGAGCTCGTCCATAAGACCTTCACCGTCAGCCGCGCCATCCTCGTCCGTAACAGCGTGTACCAGCAGACCCGACAGGTTGTCCAATGCACGAAGGGCATCAGCACTAGTGCCCAGCTTAGCGCGGGAGGAGGCAATATCGTCATCCTCATCAACCATTTCGGCAGACTCTCCAGGAGCCCCGATATCAGCGAGAACATCGTCACTCTCTAGTTGGCGTATAACTCTGCTATGCGAAGCATCCTCGAACAGCTTCACGTTGTATTCTTGCTGCAACTTCTCCAGATCATTGTCATCTTCGTTCGTCAGCTCTCTCATCCGCTCAATGAAGGTCACCTCATTCTGTCTTATCATGCCTTCATCTTTGCTAAGTGCCTCTTCCTCTTCTAAGCGCTCGAACTCCGAAACCAGGGCATCCACGTGCTCCACAGCGGTGCATCGGCCGTCGTCAACTCGACCTGTTTGACAACGGGCAACGCCGAAGGAACGGAGTGCCAGCGAAGCGATAGTGGGATCATAGGCAGCATCATCAGACTCCTCAGCGGCGAGAGAACTCGTCCGTAGAGGGAGATGGACCCTGACAAAAACGCGTCATGAACAACCAAACTGCAAACTGAACGAGAATGATGTACAACTCGCCTGAGCTTTTTTCCGAGCTACTGTCACGATTATATCTCAAGGAGGATGGCGTTTACTCGACTCACCTTCCCAGAGTATCCCTGACATGCAAAGCTTCCTTCCCCTTGTCCCTCCTCAAGGCGATAGCGGCGACACCCGAAGCCATCGCCAGGCAGTCTAACGCCAGCGGACGGGTAATATCAGAATGAGCCGGGAAAGAAGTCCTGCATGTAAAAATGACCAACAATCATTGACCACGTAATTTTCTCACGTTAAGGTCTCAGCCACGCTCGCAGCGCTCTGTACCATCACCATGGCCTCGTCAAGCTCTAGTCCCTCCTTGCGCCACCGACAGCTGTCGTCAGATATCAAAGGCACCACCACTGATTGCACGAAGCCTTGGACGATAGTCCGCAACTCCTATCACCCAACCAATGAGGCACAACATCTTCATAACCAGAATGACTCACTCTATAGTTAGCTTCTTCCCTATTGATATCAGCGAGCCCGCTGGTTTCCCAAACAGATTCATCAACCGTCTCAGGCCGACTCTCGGGGATCTCTCGGACACACAGAGTGTTTTCTACTGCAGATACACTCTTAGTCAGCTTCTCGAGCGCTCGACGAAGAGATGCAATACCTGAGGGGAGAACCAATCAAAGAATCAACAATATGAACTCTGAATGATTGGTGATGGTCACGGCACGTTTCAATACTGATGTCCCGAGACTCCATAGTGACACTTTCTATATTCGTCATCAAAATTTGACCCAAGTTCACCGATGACTCACGATACCCCGGAACTCACCATCAGCTCCCACGGCAGCCAAATCGAGGCAGCGTTGTCTTATGTTGAGCTCACTCTCCTGGTCTCTGATGAACCGATGGACGTTGATGCACCAAGCTGATCGAGACTCTGTGGGGTCCGTCTCAAGATGCAAGATCTGACAAGAGAAATGATACAGAAGACTCTTCAATGGCGAGCTTACTCCTGCACCAAGGACGAGGTGCCACGCTGCGGCCATAGTTAGCCTCGCGTAGGAATCAGTCTCCTCATTCAAAGCCTGGCTGCATATTTGAGCTATAGGGATCGTACCGTCGACGAAGACTGGTAGGTCTCCGGCTTCCCGACAACATCTTTCGATAACATTGGCACAGTTGAGACTAACAGCTTCTTCGACCTCTGCCGCAGAGGGCGCAACCTCTCGAATGTAAGCCGCCAGTTTCGCCGCCTCGGGTACTTCACTTATCGGCCATCGAAGTACCGCCTCAGCAACAGAGGCACCCAGGATGGTGGCCCATCCCCCATGTGCTCGAATAAGAGTTTCAGGACCTCGTCGACTCAGCCTGGAGTAGAGCTTCTCTACAGAAGCCAAGTCGCTGGCTATCGTACCCGTGCTCCAGGTAGCCTCGGTTTGCAAGGCTAAACCGTCAATGACCGACCAAGGACAAGATAGCGACAAATCGTCGTAACGCTGAGCGCTGGGTTCACCAGAACACTTCAGAAGCTCGACGGGCCACATCGGCTTGAGCGCGGAGTCATCGGCAGCAGTCATTTCGTGTTGTTCTCGAGTAGTAGTGACGATCCTAGTCACAGCTTCAAGTAAGGCCGCCTCCAATTTAGCCAATTTGTCGCCGGCTTCCTCGTCATTAGCTCTGGCTCGCCGATTCAAGATCCCTAGACTCCGTATTTGTGCTAGGAGATCCCCGAGGGTCTGAGCATGGTGCTCGCCCGGGAAGGATTGGTAGAGAGTACTGACGTTCCTAACGGCAGTCTCCAGAACAAGCTCCAACGTGGACTCACTGGCGCTCGCGTACATGGGTAGATGAGCCGGGCAGGCCACAGCGGCAGCAGGCGGCCGAGTAGCCCGAGACGACTGAACCTCACGGGCGTCCAGAAGCTCCTGCAGGAATATCAGAATACTTGTCTCTGCCTGTGCGCTCAGTTGGTCGTAGGAGTCCAACACCATCAATAGCCGACAGAAGTGAGGCATGACCCGAGGGTCTCTTGGGAGCTCGACGATGTTGTCTCTCACCGTCTTAATCAGCAACTGTCGTCTCCCGCTCAGCAAGGTCAAGTCGTCGGCTTCCTCGGGATGGCCAACCTGATAGAGTAACGTACCCTGCTTGGCCGGCAACCGTAGATAAGTTTTGGCCACCCATCTCCTATCAGTAGCAGAGAGCACGGCCATGCTTCTCACAACCTCAGGGGCCACGTTCAAGCTCGAAGGTAAATTCTCAATCCTCGTCTTGACGTCCCAGGGTGTGCCGACAGTTCCTTCAAGCATCCATTGGTACGCGTAGGACTGACCAACAGGCTCGTCCGAGATCTCCTCTGCTACCACACAAGCAGCGCTTATGGTCTTGGCCACAAGAGAGTACCCGCAGAACGATGGCTTGAGTAGACGAAGATCGGACTCTCCCACCCGCAAGTGGTCCCCCAGGGCTACAGCTCTACTCGTCTCACGAGCGATCGCTTGCAGCTGGCTACCTTGCATGTCTTCAACACTGGCGAGGCTCTCGACTAAGCCTCCAGACGCAGCCATGCAGACCCTCTCCAAGTCACCACCCTGAGCACAGCTACCTACGAATATCTCGACACATCTATTCCGCAGTGGATTCGACACCATGTGAGCATGACGAGCATCCGCCGTGAAGAAGAGACGACAAGCAGGATTGGGCGTGACTGTCAGGTCTTCCGGGTTTGCTCGCCCTCGTTCTGGCACTTGCAGTTTACCGCCGACCTCGAGCAAAGCATTGAGACGATCAACGACCGCTGAGGGGCATTGCTCTACCGAGTTGAAGAGAACCCAATCGCCTGACTTCAGCGCACACACCAGAGGCGAGTCAACCCACTGAAACCCTCCACCGGGCTTCTGTACGAACTGACCAACCAGGTCATTAGCGTCCATTTGAGCATGCATCCTGATGCTCACGAGCTTGACACCAGCGACAGCGGCGAGGATCTCTACCATTCGTCTTCTCCCACTGCCACCGTCACCAATCAATAGAGTTGGCCAATTGTTGAGAACAGCAGCACAACCAGCACTTAGCCCCAACGACTGACACTGCAGTATGTCAGCGTCACTCGCCACGAAATCGGCAACTCTCGAGTTCGCGAAAGCCTCCGCCACTCTGACGAGCATCGGACCCACATCGACATCCTCAACATCACACTCTCCTGCCCATTGCTGGTTCGACGAAGCCTCCCACACGCTAGGACGTAAAGCCTCGCGGTCTTCTTGGGTTTGCAGCCTGGATGCTAATAACAGATAGCACTGTAATGCTGGAGATAGATGCCCTACGGCTCGTCGCTGCACCGAGGATGATACTCGAAGCACCTGGAAGTAGCTGCATGTCTATTGAGCAAGACCAAGGACGTAACCTACATCTCTGAGGTTCCACTCCCATCCACTGCCGCCCTTGAACCGCATATCTCCAGCGATCCGGACAGATTCGACAACTCCTTCACAGACCGAGTTCCACATGTCGTCACCGAAGAGCCTCTTGCAGATCGACTCCGAGTCCTTTGAGGAGAGCTCAGATACCGCGATTTTCACAAAGCGGTTAAGAAAGGATTTGGGGAGACCTTTTCGTCCGCCACCGTCAACCATACGATTCTGCGTCGCGAAAAGCTGGAAGCTGCCGGCCTTAGCTCTGACTCGCTCGCCAGTCTCAGGGACAACGAGCTCTCGACGATGGTCGAGTAGGGAGTTGAGCCCCTCCAGCACGGGCTGAGGAGCCAGGTTGAGCTCGTCGAGCAAAACCCAGCAATTGTCTCTTCTCAATGCGGACAGCAGAACGCCGTCTGACCATGCGAATGACACCTGAGAGCACGCTGTATATGCCCTAAAGGGTGACAATAAAGTCTATACTCACCTCGTGGCCGCCCTGGCCAGCCGCGGGGAGGAACTGTCCAACCAAATCAGCTATTTCCGTTTGCTCAGAAATATTGATCCTTACAAGCTCCCTCCCACAACGAGCCGCCAATGCCGCGATGATCGAGGATTTACCAGTCCCCGGCGGTCCCTCAAGCAACACTGCCATCCCCTTACCAACAGTCAAACCTCGTAAAATACGTCCCAAGTTGAGAGCAGTTGTAGGAGCGGCGAAGTCGAAAGGGATAGGTGCTGCGGCAGCGCCCATAGTAGGAGCCGGCATAGAGAAAGGGCCCAGGCCATCTGATCGGAAGACCCATGCAAAAAACAACAACGGGAAAGACACTCACCAGAATCGCCCCGTCGTACAGCGTCCCGAACCCACTGGTAACCGTCTTGACCAAACTTGCTCAAGTCAGTGTCCCGTGGGGTCTGTGTCTCGAGCATCCTCATAGCCTCCATCTGCAGATCAGGGGCGTCCATCAAGGCATCAACAATGGTCATAGTGCCGCCATGTAAGTAGCGCTCGCCCAGGCTCATGCAAGTAAGCTCATTACAGGCGCTCACCCACAGACCCACATTACGGATCGACATCGGTAGAATCTGTGCCGGGATGTTCTTAACCACCCAAGCAACAGCGCGACGAATGGACGGCATCAGTGACTTCGCCTCGTCGCTCAGGAGCTTCCGTATGAGCCTGCTGGCCTCAGAATCGTCATTCTCATCGGCATAGTCGAGAGCCTTGACCCAGATCTCAGTCATACGCGACCTCAGCGCCGGACTGAGCTCTCTCTTGCCGAAGTCCCCACCAGGATTCATGGTCATCATCAAACTGAACTTATCCCCGCCGACAACAACTTCTCCACCGGGCTTCTCAGCAAGCATCACACTCCTTTCACCTGCCTCCAGAACCGAGTTTAGCCGCTCCAGAACAGCATCAGTGGCTAAGGAGGCCTCATCGAGCAACACCCAGTGACCGTCGCCGCGCATAGCTCTTGTTACAGGACCGTCTTGCCAGGCGAACAAGTCGTGATCTATGCTCCGATCGTGATTCACATCAGCTCGCAAGTCTGCTATTTCCCTCCACAGAGCTCTTAACTCAGACCTCACCCGAGCTCTCTTCGGACTGGGCGGATCTT